TGAACCCTATATAAAATCACTGATGGGATATGAAGGCGGTGGTTGCAGCACACAAACCCAATAATATTACTGAACTGGAGGCAATTGCTCATAAGGAATGAGCTATGATTTCTCAGAAAAGCTGCCAGAAGCTGGTTATACATCTCATTTTCAGGAGCTCATAACAGCAAAAGGGTGTTCTACCAAGTCCTAAAGATGCTTGTCATAAAGGGGTTGAATAATTTTGAGACGGCAGAAGCCATTCAAAGTCTCATTTGAATTAGGGAAAACCACTTGAAAGTGAACACTTGATGTGTTGATCTATTTCAACTACATGTGTTTTATTTATTGCAAACAGCTGTAAGTATGTACTGATTTGCAATGGGGGTTGAATAATTTTAATTACAACTTTAAATGCAATAAGACTGAACCATTTAACAATTTAAAAATCAATGTATTAAATCCATAAATTTAATAGTCTAGGAACCCAAAATGGTTCATAAACATTTGAATGCCTCTAAAGTTGTTAAATTGAAACAATTCTTACAATCTACACAAGCTGTTAATAATGTACGTTTCAGGATCTATGCAAATGTATGTGTGCTAGATTCACACTTTGTGTGTGAATACCTATGATTGCTAATGAGATCACATTGTCAGATTTGCCTACACACAAGCCTCGAGGTTTCAGAACTCAAACAGTTCAAAGTTTCTTGACTAAGTGATGCAAATTAATCTCCTTTCTGTACTGTAAATATCTAATTTGTATTTTCCCAAAGAAATTGTAGAAGAAATATCATAGATAAAGTTGATATGAGCAAAGAAAGAGCAACATGTGAGCAATAGAACAGTAACAGAGAGCGGTGACACAAAAGAATGAGGTAATGAATGAGTGGGGAAAATGAGAAGATGAATAGGTGAAGGGAATGTGACAGAAAGGGAGAACCACATTAACCCCGGAAAGAAAAAGTGCAAGAGAGAAAGTGTGTATAGAGGTAGTAATCCCCTCATAGATGGCTTTGTTGCCCGTCTGATGATGGAGCAGTCCATATGATGAACTAATGGAGGGGTGTAGTGTAGAGGATTATCCTCCCACTCTCACACCCCTGGAAACTGAGGTCAAGTAGTACAATTCCATTTTCAGTCCATTTAATGCCACAATCACAATCTCTCTTTAAACAATGTAACGTTTTCCAAGAGCTTATCTCTACTAAAAAACACACTCACACACACAAATGGCTAGGAGATATGGGAGGAACTTGCACCGTGAAGCACATTTACGAATCCTAAATCCATTCTTTCACTAACAATGTTTAATCTTGCGTTGCTCTCGGTCCTATACAAGCTCTATACAAGATCTCTCAACAAAGGAGAACCAATCATCACGTGTATTCACCAGAAAAAAAACAACTGTGACTACACTAGAACGGTCAAAAGTCTGAAGATCTGATTTTGGCTCAGTTCTCTGCCTGTCAGTTTTCCAAAGTATCTTTTCCTACACTTAAAATGTTTTAATTTGAAACGCTTAACCCAGTTAAGAAAGCTTTTATCTGGCTCCAATTAGCAGCTGATTCATTAAATATTGAGGGAGCCATGAAGGATTAAATTTTTAATGTTCATTTGAGGCAGAGAGTTGTACAACAACTTCCCCCGGAGCGATTCATGGAGACAGTCTGTGCTCACCATTGATTACGCTCATTGAGGGGCCGAAATCCACTCCTCTCCTCCCACGCACCCCTCCATCCCATAACCTGTCTGACCCGTTTAAATGTCTTTTTTTTTTTTTCTCTCAGCACAAACTCTATGGAAATACTAATGATTTTCTCCAGACATCAGGTGCTACATGACTTAAGAACTTTTAGAGTTTATTGTCAGGTTGACCCTATTTACATTGTAATGCACATTTCTGGTCTTAATGATGTATCGTACTTCATTCTAAAAATTGTTTGTCTTTTTAATCTTTAATAAAAGTAATTAGTTGTTTTTTCCACATTTTTTTCTGCTGAACTTTATCACTTTTTTTCTTCCTAAAATATAAAATGTATATTGTTTGAGACATTATGAGACATTATGCTTGCAAAATTAAACAATTGGCTTTTATATTATATTACTAACTGTACTTTAAATTACTGTACTGAAGTCAAAGCAAATTATAAAAAATATAATCTGGGAAACATTTACTTTGTATGAAGTTCAGTGAATTTCACATTTGTTTGTAAAGCACTTTTTATTGTAATTTTATTTTATTTTGTGTTCAATATATTTAATAAATACTGTATATATAAAAAACAGTATTCAGTGTCTAATATTCATAAAATGAATCACAGCAAGCTCATGATAAAAAAAATCTTATTAAATTAATATTAAATTTTAATATTCTGGCATGTCTGTATGGCTGCTGAAATGTTCAACTGTCTGGTGTGCATATGTGTTAATAGGCCTATATGTGAGAGAGAGAGAGAGAGAGAGAGAGAGAGAGAAGAAAAGGAGTGAAAAAAAGAGAGCAAGATGACCTGGGAGGGATGTGACTGGTGGGGTGTGAGTAAACACGTTGACCTTTTCAGATATCATAGGGAACATTTGTTTCATATGGATGAGTGACTTTCTCCATGTCTTTTTTATATATATATATGACTTTATCTGCCCAAACCCCTGAATTCCTTCTCTTTACACAAGTTGAACGTTTTTTTTTTTTTTTTTTTTTTTTTTTTTTTTTTTGCTCAGCCTCAGTTTAATCTTTATTTTTTGCTCTTTTAACCAATGATGTTTATCTTTTCTGCCTCTGACTATATGTCTCTACCATGTGTACACTTTTTTTTTAAACTAGTCTTAAAGGAACACTCTGACTTTTTGGGACTTTAGCTTATTCACTGTATCCCCCAGAGTTAGATAAGTCCATACATATATCTTTTCCATCTCCGTGCGTGCTGTAATTCTACCTGACACAACCACCGCTAGCCTAGCTTAGCACAAAGACTGGATGTAAATGGCTCCAGCTAGCATACTAATCACAATAAGTGACAAAATTACACAAACATTTTGTGATTGTATAGTCACAGAGCGTACAAATAACAAGGTCATATGAGACACAGACATCTTTTAACCGTATAAATACTGGGAACTATATTCTAAGAATGCGAAGCACTGCTACTTGGGCGGAGTGATTACCGCAGCACCTGAGACGCACCTTCAGCCCACGTTTCATGGTCCGTGTGGCAAACTCAATTTTTTCAAAATAGTCGTCCTCAGTGAAATGTACTGAGCAAACACGATGGTCCTTGATGATCTCTTCAGGTTTGTTTGGATCTAACGTTATATCCAGAAAAAGTAACTTAGCCATTGATTTATCAGGTCAGCGTGTTTAGTTGGAATTCTATGAAACATGGTATTACCTGGTCTCAACTGTTTAATGTCACAGCTCTTTACAATTTTACAATCTAGTAATTGCTGACTCTATACTCCAACTCTGAACGAACTCTCTGCTCCTCACCACGGTGCTGAGAATATAGTTCCCAATATTTATCCGGTTAAAAGATGGCTGTGTCTCATATGACCTTGTTATTTGTACACTCTGTGACTATACAAATCATAACATGTAACTAGGAAAATGTTTGTGTTATTTTGTCACTTATTGAAATTAGTATGCTAGCTGGAGCCATTTACATCCAGTCTTTGTGCTAAGCAAGGCTAGCAATGGATGCGTCAGATAAAGTTACAGCACGCACGGATATGAAAAAAGTATGTATGGATTCATCTAACTCTGGGGGATATGGTGATAAGTCTCAAAAGATCGGCGTGTTTCTTTAAAAAGAAAGGTTTCTTTATTTATTAAACTTTCTTCACACTAGGGAAAAAAAGGTTATTTTATGAATGGTTCTTAGGGAAACCAAAAAACGGTTCAATGGTATTGCGGTGAAAACATCAAGAATGTAGTTCCCTAAACAGAATTTTTTTCCCACTTAGTTATTCATGTTCTTCTCAGAGTTGAGTGAAATCGCTAATTCTGTCACTCACTCAAGGTTTAAACTCTTCTATATGTGGCTTCTCATTTCCTCTTGTCCAGAGAGCATCCTCAGCATGGACAAAATTTTGAGTACCTTTGCGTGGGTTTGCAGATTGTGTCACTGTGGGTGAAGCATAAATGGTTTATCTAGGGAGGGCATGCACGCGACCCATAATCGGGAGGCAGCCAGCCGGAAAATGCCCTCCCGTCTCTCTCAGTCGATGGTGTCTGTCCAAACCGTTAACTAGACTGCATCCCCTGGCCAAAGTCACCCCTGTCCCAACTGGGCTTAAATTTATGTGTACAAAGTTTCCCACACTTTCTGACCTATTTCAATGATTGTTCTATCACTTTTCAGTTGACTGGATAATGACTCAGTTTATCAGTAAAAAAAAAAAAAAAAACAGTTCATAGAAATAGCACTCAGAAAAAAGAAAATCCACCCAAAGAAAAACTTCAGTCCATGGCGCACAAATGTATGAAGAGTTCAGATGCAAAAGCCTCTAAATGCCATTTGAAATTTTCTTCTAAAATGATAATTTTTATCAAGCTTGTATGTTTAAGTTCAGTAATTTCACTTTAATGGCAATGAAGATTATTAATTGTTATTTAAGTGAAATTACTGAACTTAAACATACAAGCTTGATAAAAATGATCATTTTAGAAGAAAATTTCAAATGGCATTTAGAGGCTTTTGCATCTGAACTCTTCGTATAGAACTTTAGAAATCATCCTATATTTTTTAGGTTCTCCAGGACAACTCTATGTGGTTTACAATAAAATTGACTAAAATATCTGTTAAATGGACAATCAAAATAAATATACATTAATAAAAATGCCAAGAATTATCTTATGGTACAACATTTTGTTCCAACTAGCTCAATGCAAGGAATATGTGCATGAATGTGAATTGACAAATTGTATTTTTCATACTACATTTGACTCTCATTGTCCATAGTCTGAACTTGTTGCAAAATTTGTATCTGGGTGCATTAGTTTTCCATCAACCACAACGTACCTTCTGTTTAAAGAGTTCCAGTAGACTGGCTCCATGTTGGTCGCATCCACTGCTAAACTCATCATCAGGAAGATTAAGAGAAATCCCAATCCACTGACCCAGTCCGAGAACGCCATTGCCACCCAGGCTCCCCTCGTCTGGACTCCCATGTTCCTCCTACAAGACAAATGAATGGGACCTAATGGAGACAAAAGACTAGTGGGGTGCTGAACTTTACTAGATCCCCCTGCAATTGAGGAGATGGTGTGACCGCAACATCCACATCTGAAAGACTCGGAGCATAAATCTCGGAATGTTTGTATAAAGAAAGCAGATTCAGAAACATCAACCTTCTTTTGTTCCATTCAAAGGAGGCAATGACCTCAGCTGAAAGTCTCAAGTACTGTCAGATTTGAGAAGGCAAAGCCATACGAATCTGAATTGGGATGAATTTAGAATAATATTATGATCGTGCATGGGGTGAAGTTAAATGTTTTTGAAGCGCACAGAGACTGGTGAAGGGCGCCAGGTCCACTGCGGGTGATTTCCCCCCCTAGAAATGTCTCTCCATAAACCGCAGCATTAGCATTTCTGTCAATGTCTTGAAGTTGTATTTTTACTCATGCTGAGTAAATGACGACCACCGGCTGCAAATAATTCGGTCCGTTGGCGGACAAAAGTCTCGCTGAAGCAGAAAACTCAGTTCAAAATGTAACTTTTCGCTCTCATCTAATATCCAAAATATTCACGCTAATAATGGCCAGTCCTGAAACAACGTTGAGGATGTCCACCAACACTTCAGTTAATTACCAAATGAATAACAGTCCGACACGAAAAACAAAAGATAACCCCGGTTTAGGGCAGTAAAGGAAACTAAAGTGACAGTAATCGGTAAGGGTCGTTTGAAACAAACGTAGAGACGATGTGAACAAGAAACGATATATTCCTGTGGTCCATGGAAACAACGCGTGCTGTTCTCCGCTCCGTCCGGTTCTCTGCTGCTCCGCAAAGTCTCGCGCTTTGACTCGCGCGCCGGCGGCGTTGTTGCCAGATCTCAAGAGAATCAAGCAACATCTCCTGAAAAACACAAGGCTAACCGAATTAGATTACCACTGTTTTTATTTTATTTTTATTATTACTTATAAAGATTTGGTGGTTATTTATAAATAAGGGGGGGGGGGGATGCTTAATTTAATTGATCAAGACAGAAATACATATTAAATATAATCTAGACTGAGGACGGTTAAATATGAAATACAGAAAAAAATATATTAAATAATAGTATTTTTTAATTACCTATTTCAATAATTTAGGTAATCTAAGGTCATTTCTTTTATTTGCTTATAATAAGCGGACATGGCAACACCTGCTGGAAGTAAGCGCGTGTTGCTGACTGACGGGGAGGAGAGTTTGTACATGAGAAAAGCTCTTCTCTGAGGTAATAATTTGAATACTACCAAATTTAAATGTTACTACAGCTCGCTGACCAACAAATCAAAATAACCATGCTTTGACTTGTGAGGTTAGAAGGGCTCGAATTGATTTCAATTCATTGTAAATCATTTCAATGAGTCGTTTGTCAAAACGCCTCAACTTTAACAAATAGCTCGAGGCGTATCAGGACAGGGTTTGAGCACTTAAACCTTATGCCCTGTTCTAAACGGTACAAAAGGGTGATGCTGGGTTTCTTTAGGGGAATCAAAAGGTGAAAAGAGGGTTATGCTCTCTAAAGATTCAGAAGAACTGAAAATTTGTAGACAAAGTAGCCTACGATGATTTTTTTTTTTTTTTTTTGTATTTATTTTTTGGCAATTTAATTTACCTGATTGAATTAAAACGTTTGAGAGCTACAATCATCACGGAATCTTCAAGACAATCTCTATGAGGTTCTGAAGCAGAAGTGTGATAATACTGCCTCATAGTGGAGAACAGCCGCAAAGTAGGAGTCAAATCTGACTACCGGGTACATTTGCACAGGACTAAAAACAACTGTAATCTAAACCAGGGGTTCTCAACTCTGGCCCTGGAGGTCCACTTCCCTGCAGAGTTTAGCTCCAAACATGATCAAACACACCTGCCTGTAACTTTCTATTAAGCCTAAAGCCCATGATTAGCTTATTGAGGTGTGTTTAATTAGAGTTGGAGGAGCTAAACTCCATGAATGGCTCTTGAGGGCGAAAGTTGAGAAACCCTGGTCGACACCCACAGTAATAGCAAAATAATGACAAAAAAGCTCAATATTTACATTTTTTTTATTTTCGATTTAACATATTTTGATCTTTTCAAAGAAAACCTAAGCCCCATATTCTGTACATACTCACCTTATTTAAAACTCAAAAAAATTAAATGATGAATTGATAGAGGAAGGCAAACCTCTTTTTTTAACTTTTACAATTCTTTTTTTATATTCAGTATGTGCCAATATTCATCATCAACCTTTATCTATACATGTCAATAGTTGCAGTTAATTACTTGAACATTAACATACCAACAATACATAGAAACACTGTGGAAACATCCCACAGCCTGGTATGATGAGTAAAGTCAATGTAGGGGAAACATCCTCAGCCAGGCTCCGACTCCTTTAGATGACCGAATGGTGTACATACAGCCTGTGCTGTTATTCTAATAAGCGTTACATTAAATTTCAAGCAGGGCAGTTCTATTTTGTACAATTAAGGCATGTGAAACACCCAAAATGATGGCCTAAGATGGACAGAACTCAAACCAGGACCAAAATCATTTACATTATTTACAGCGCACCCAGTCCACATCTCTCGCGAGCAAGACGGGAGAATGTAAGAGCGTCTTTCTACAGACACATACAAAGTCTCTCCACGCACCTAGTCTGTCTGTGGCTCCCATTTTACGTCTCTTTCTTGAAAGAGAGAGGAAGCGAAAAACAAGAGAAGAGAAAGTGGTGGTCTCTTGCTCAATCCAGTTTGACGACATCAGAAGATATGTTCTGGTGCATGTGACGGTCCAAGCAGGGTTACGTCCATCCTTGAAGAACTGAAAAACAAAAAATAACAGGATTAAATCACAAGCACAATGAGTAAAATAGTTCAGAATCTCAGGCTTTCGCACCTCACCTGCTTCGCTGCAGTTCGGTTGTTTCAACTTACATCCATGAACTCCTTTCATGTCAACAATTTCTGTAATAGTCCCAATTTCTCATTGTATAACAGACAATCATGACAGGTCTGTGTCCTTGAGGTTTAGTTCAAGTGAAAAAACGAGGGGAGTTTGTGTCCGTCCATCTCCTCCTCTCCAAACATTCATCACATCTAGACTCCTCAACCCTCAGCAGGGAAGGGAGTTTTTGAAGAAATGATTGATAGACGTGAGAATCTGCGGTTTCTCCACACAGTAATCTTCTCAAAAAGGCATAAAGGGTTTTTCAAATCAAACATTCAAAATGAACACTTTTTTTCAAATGCTATAGGACTCTCCTTCATTTGATAGTGTTGCAAGAGAGCAGTGGGGATTGCAGCACAAAGGATGCAGAAAACTCCATCGCTTTGGTGTGGATGAAAAAGATCCACACGTACTCCCTCTGTCTCTCCGTGTGTAGCACTAAATGCAGCTGGTTGCCACTCTTTTCCACACTCCAGGATGGCATTTGAGATAGTGCTGATATCCTCTCCGTGCTTGTTTTTAGTCTTTGACTTTTTTTTACAAAAATATATTCCAGTCAGAATAAAGAGTGAAATACGTTTAAAGCAGGAATCTTTTCTTTTCTACAGATCAAGTACCACGATGTCCCTTCGTTCTGATCCTCAGTCTCTTCCTATCCAGGTGAATGAACATTTGATGCAAAACGTCACATATTTCGATCCCAAAACCAATGTATTGGGGGAAATAGATGTCTTTCAAAGTAAAAAAAAAGAAAATACTGCTACACACTGTGGATCCTTGGCTCTCAATGGCCCTGTATCGAGAGCGCAAGTAACAAGATGGAAAAACAACAGTTCCATCAAGATGTTGGGAGACAAACTCAATCTCCGGGTGACGTGAAAGTTCTGGAAGAGCACCAGCCGGAGACCGTAAGCTCAGTGAGGGCCATGCGCTCAGATAACAGGCATATTCCGAATGGTGAGGCGTGTCCCATTTCGCTCGAGACACTCAAGCCTTGTTATAGACACGCTGTTATACATAGTTTCTTTTGGAATACATTCATTCATAATACAACATCCTCATGACGCAAAAAAACTAACAAAAAAAACCTAACAAATAAAAACATTATTCAAAAATACAAGGTAGCAGCCTAGAAAGTGCTCCAACTGATAAAGTTTGAATACTTTGTATAGAACAATAAAAAAATAATTCATTCATCCTTTTTCAACAGCAAAGAAAAAGTAACAACTGACATACAGGATCACAGCGCCCTCATGACTGTCTCAGAACACCAGCCAACAGAATCCACACACACGCTTTCTGGACAGAAGGCAATAGTTCACATCGTGGACAGAGAATGAGTGATAGGGGAAGAGATGAAATGTAAGTGTATTTTGTGGACAGACAACAGAGGAGCTACATTTAAACACAAAACAAACCCCGGTTGCCCTCTTAGAACAGAGGCAAACGGGCCAAACAGCACCTCAGTCACGCTTTGAAACACTGAAGGGTAAAAACGCAATGCTTGACTGTCCTATCGGTCTCTTTAAGAGCCTATGTACAAACACTAACTTCTTCTGCCCATTCACACACACACTTTAGCACACACGCTCAATGAAATACAAAAATTGTGTTGAACAAAATAAAAGCATGGCATTTGTTTTATACAGGTAAGCAATAAAATTTGTGCAGACTTCATCTCTTACGCACACACAGAAATCCTCATAACCTATCCTACGTTTTTTGTTTTTTTATCTTTTTTGTTTTTTTTTGTTAAACAAGTGCAAATCTTCAAGTTTTCAAATTCATATTTCTATAGCTTTACCAAGAACATAAAAAATACAACAGTGTTTGTCTGTTAGGAGAGACGCTCGACTAATCTCCCCAAAGAACGTTTCTCAACCTCCGTGTTCGATACGGCGGAACCCACTCCGTTCCTACCTCTCGTATGTGTACTCATACAAATATTCAACACATAATATATGCAACAATATATTCACACATTTTGCATTGTAAAAAAAGGACAAAAACTCCATTTCAAATATGAAAACATTAAAGTGCAATGGTTTAGGTAAGGTGCTTTACTGAAGGGATGCGGAAGAAGAACTCCTCTTCACACGAACCTCCTTCTGCTCCTCTCACAGTGCAGAGTGAGAGAAGGAGGGAGAAAGAGAGGGGGCGTGAACAAATATTGCCCCACCCCTTCCCTCACTGAGCAGTGCACATTCCTCTGCTGATTTGCTCCAGGTTTAAGGCCTCAGGTAAACTCAAGTAGACGGGTTGGGTCAGTAATCCTCCACCTGCTCCAGCTCACCTCCCCCCAGGAATGAGTAGCCTGCGGAGGTGGGAAACAGGAGAACAGAGGTTGAAAGGTCTGAGGGTTCGCAGTTTCTACAAGAAATGTCCCATCTGGGAATATCCTAATGACTAATTCATAAACATTCCTTGAACTTTTTTTCCCCTTGAAGCAGGGTAGAAAACGCTTTTCAATAAGCATATCAGTAAACGGATCCTCCTCTCTAGATGAGGATCTTACTATGACCCAGACAGCAAGAATTTGACTAGGAGCCAAAGCACAGATTAAAACAACAGTAGTTGCGAGGGTCATTCTAGGTAATGTATGCATGCTGACGGGTAAAACTGAATGCAACCCAGCAGGGGTGCGTGAGTGTTTATGAAAGCATGCACACTAACCGAGGATACTGGGGTCAGTGTGGAGCATCATGCTAGGCTTTTTCTTTGCTTTTCCTCCCTGAGTGTCAAACACACTGCTGCCCTTGCTCATGTGAGCTGCCTGGAACATTGACTTGAGGAGAAACAACAGAAGACTTTAAAATACAACAATGGACAAGCAAAAGGGCAAGTGATAAATCCAGATGCATCCAAATTAGGGCTGCAACTAACAAATATTTTAATAGTTAGTAATGATATATAACTATGTAGTATGTACCAATTTACTAATGCTCTCTCTCTCGCACAATCTCGGACACACTCGGCCTCTCTCTCGCTCGTAGAGTACGTTTTGCCTTTGCCTCAGTCCGGTGCCTCATTGATCTACTCCATTACGCGCTCAACTCAAATTTGTTTAATTTATACTCAAAGATCTCTGCGAATTATTGCCTGCCGTAATAATCGCGCAACACAACGAATTGATAATGAAATTCATTGCCAACTATTTTAATAATCGTCGTTGCAGCCCTAATTAAAATAATTACTGATATCATGATATCGAAGATTATAATATGGCATGTCTTTTTTTTTTTTTTTTTACCTGCAGGGGGAAGTTCATGTTCAATCCAGAGACTTCCTTGGATAGCTGTGGAAAATTTCAGTACATTAAAAAAAAAAAAAAGACAACACACAAAAGAAAAATTGATATTTAGAAACCTGCTGCTGTTGTCTCTGGTGGTTTGCTTTCTGTTTGGCACGGCGCTCCAGGAACTGCTTGGCAAACTCTTTGGCTTCAATGGTATCGCCGAGATAAATGCGGATAAAGTCATTAACTTCATACGGAGACTCTACTTCCTTCAGATACGCCACAATGGTGGGCACTACAGAGAGAAATATAAGAATGCTAATTTCAGTTCCTCTTCGAATAGAGAGCAGAAAGACAAGCAAACAACAAATGTGACAGTTACCATCTAGTGAAGAGGAGTTATTTGCAGAACTGTTGAGAGCATGAAGCATCTGTTCACACCAAGTGGTGAAACCGTCCTGAGGTTTCATCCCTTGAAGAAGCTTCAGAAGCCTTTCCTCGTCATCAGTACGCTTACGCCGATTCAGCAAGTACTGATCACTGTGAACACGGACACGTTTGAGGTGAACACTGCGTGTAAAAACATTGGTTTATATGGAGAGGTAAATTGTGTGAGTGTAAATTTGTGTACCCGAGAGAGGGACTGCTGCGGCTGTTCTTTAGGCCAATGTTGCGATGGCTGGCCTGGTTCTTCATGGCCTCATCCCACATGCCCATAGCAGGGTTTCCACCTCCAACCTTCCCTTCCATACTAGATCCTGACCACATCCCAGCTGGCCCATCACTCCACTGACCCATAGTCAAGCCTCCATGCTGATTTGAAACACACATGAAGAGTTAAAGCAGAAGAAACAATTTCCTTCTAACAGCAAGTGAAATAACAGTAACTAATACAAGGAAGACCTCATAAAACATTCCCAAATGAAAACGTTCAGAATGCACATGAATGTCATCCTTCAGGAGCACTTTACAAAAACACCCCAAACTAATTTCCAGCCATTCGGATGCAGTTTTAAACAGATTTCAACTGCTCATGTGGATGTCAAGATGTTTTTACCCTTTGCTGTGCTCTCTGCTGCTGCTGCTGTTGTTTTAGAAATCTTTCTGCCTCCAACTCCAGGAGTCCCATGCTCTTTCCTGAAGCTTTGCCTAGAGAGAGAGCTCCTGCCTGGCTTCCACTCCACCCTGTACCCCCTGACATGCTCTGCTGCTGGCTCTGCTGCAGAAACTTCATGATCAACTCCTGCTGCTGACGGCACTGCTGTAAAACACAAACGTGTTAGACTTTAAACATTTCATAGTGCAGCAGTTGTGGCCCAGTGTGTGAGAGGACGCTCACCTGTTTTCGTCTATAAAGATCCTCCTCCTCTCTCCTCTTCTGTTCCTCCTGCTGCCGGCGCTTTTCCTCCCTCCGTTTCCTCTCCTCTTCTTCACGCTTCACCCTGAGTTCAGCTTCACGCCTCTCCTGCTGGATCTAACACATGGGCGGCACATGCTCAATTCACAAAGTCAACACGAAATGTGATCACCTAGATGAGCTGTCACAGTGCAGCATGTTTTTTACGTCAATGCTAGGGATGTATACAGCAGGGCTTGCATAAACTAGTAAGGTAGTTAATAATCTAAGCACTAGTTGGCATTGTCGGTAACCATTAAGTACTAAAACGTACAATAACCGTAACTTCATATCGACAAGCTTTTTTTTCTTAACACAAAACTACTAGCCATGACCGCGACTAAAGATAGTATACAATGACAGCAAATAGACAATATTATATATCTTATTCAAAATATAGATGTATGTTTCGATTTACTGTTCAAGACCTGTGAAATGGTATATGAGGATGCTAATGTTGTAAAATAACCCTAGGCTAACTGTTAAAATCAATTTTATTAATAAGTGTATGCACATATTGTTTAACATCAAAGGTGGAGATTTGCATGTCAATTGACAACTGGTAAAATTCTAAATGAAACATTTTGGTTTTATAATAGATGTTAGAGACATGTTTGTTGCAAAAATTGGTCAATTAATAAACATATTTTGCCTTTGTTTCTTATTTTAAATTAACAAACCACAAATACTTCTATAAAATGCCATTGATCAAGACAAAACCAATAAACTTCAGCACGACTGACGACTTAAGTCTAGAATATGTTGAATGGAAGTTTAATTTGAAGATTAAATAAGTTGCCTACTTTCTGCAAATGTTCAAGAGTTGGACCCTGAGTGGAGCTACTCATGGTTAAGTCCCACAGACTGGTCTCACCGCCTAAAAACGAAAGATCAGAAAAGCCATTGTGTGAAGAATAAGACTTCACAAAATAAAGTGGCTATTACAAAGCATCATTGCAACTGGTAGTACCTGACTGCTGAGAGACTGAGGTAGGCATGTCCCACAAGGGCCCGGTATCTGGCACTGACATGGACCTGTTCATCGCAGGCATCCCAGTCTCCCCACACCTGAGACACAAACGCATCACTCACAAACCCAAAACACATCATGTATATACTTGGTTAGCTTATTCATTAATCGCAAGGGGTTACCGGTTTATGTGCTGAAATCTCATCTGAAGTTGTTGGTACAGGGCTGCAGTGGCAGCTTGTTCTAATTGTTTCTTTAACAGCTCCTGGTCCATGTTCCCCTAAAGGAACAGAAAAAAAGACTAAAATTTACTTCTATTTAATATTTTAAACTTTTTTTTTTTTTTTTGGATAGTGGAGAACAGTAAGGCAATGATGGTGAAGGACAGGAGGATTTGGGAACAGGAAGAAACCTTGAGATGGGAACCGAAATTGGATTGCCCATGATGCTACGATATGTCAGAGCACTGCCCCCAAGGTTATAGCACCAACAACTACTTGAGTATTTTCTAAAAGCAATAAGCAACCTGAGATTTGCTTGATTACACATTTAAGAACAGTCCATAACCTGTAAAGCTTACTGTATCATAACTAATACAAACATTTCTAGGACAATAAATGATGTTTTTAGCAAGTAAAAGGGCTTTTAGTATTATTCTAAAAATGATCCACCTTTAGTGGTAAATGTGTCTTTTTGCTGTAAAATCTTTATTGATTTTTATGAAGTAAATGTAAGAGTAAAATTTATATTCTTAGTAATATTTCAAGATGGACATTCAAGCAACTCAGGTCTATTTGATTATCCATGTATTCGTTTTTTGTTTTGTTTTTTTGTTTTTATAGAGAAATGTAAGTATCAAGGAATGTCAATCATCATCAATCATCATTTGTTTCGGTTCCCACAATAATATGTATATGTAGTCTGTTCTAAATGTTATAAAGATCTCATTGATTTACATTACAAGCTATAAGAATTTCATCTTACGTTTTGGCCATATAAATATAAGAAACTGCACCAATTTACAGATTTTTTGCTCAGTTTGGGCCTCTAACTAAAACTGATTTTATTTTTTTTTTACTAGAGTATGAGCTCCATATTCTACAATAGTATGCCATACTAAATGAGCCATAAAAGCCTGATGTATCAAATAGCATACTCAAAAAAAAAAAGCATTCTAATTTTTTTCTTCAGATTTTGTCTGAAGGTAAAAAAAATTAGTTCAATTTAAAAAAAAAAAAAAAGAAAATTCAGACAAATACTATTTCACGTCAGCATGACGGGGTCAAAAATAGTAAAATATTTGTAAGATAAAACCCTGAGTGGCTTATTGCTAATACATGACAGTTTCATTAAACTCTTTTTGGAATAATTCCCAGTTCCTCACCAGAAGCGGAGGAGGGGAGGGGCCAGGAGAGAAAGGCACACGTCCCCACATCTTGATAACCTCGCCCAAGGGCTGAAATCCCTCATCACAGCCACGTTTGACTAGCAGGTTAATGGCGAAATACCCCGCTTGATACCACTCACACATCTCCACTGTAGTGAATGGACCTGAAAGAGAGACAACCAAGACAGCTCAATATTTTAAGCTGTAATAAAAACCTCCACTTATGATCATTGATGCGGTAGTGAGCTTTACCTTGAATCTCCCCTTGGGGGTCTTTGTAGAACCACTTCATTGCGGATTCGTGGGAAAGGGGCAGAGCGCTAGCGGAGTGCGGGAGAGTGTGCGGGGTTGAGTGAGAGTGTGTGTGGGAATTCGGGTGATTGTGAGTGTGTGCCACGTTGATGTGGCTCTCCTGCAGAGCTTGAGTGAAACATTCTTCTTCGAGGGACGTGTCTTGCAGAGACGCCACCATCTTCTCAGCCTCCTTTAAAAGACAGATCTTTTTTTTAACTTTACGCTTCTATCTTAAGAATGTAGAGCAACAAAAATAAGCAACACTGACCTGCTGAAGGTGCTTCATGCCATCTTCCTCCTCGGTGTCTCCGCCAACTGTTGGACGGTCAGTACCAGTGTTTGAGGGAGGAAAGGAGCTCTTCATCTGAGGTGTGGTGCCAACTAAAGCTGCATCTATAAGAACAAACGCAATGCTATTGTGTTCCATTGAAAGTTCTTGAGACAAAAAGGAAAAAGGCTCGAGAAAAAAAAGCAAAGCAAAAGAAAGTGTACCTTTGGCTGGCTGGGGTGCAGGTTTGAAGGGAGGAGGAGCTATGGGTTTGGGAGTCTCTTGCTCTGGAGGGTGCACAGGAGCAGGAGCAGACACAGCATGAGGAGATGATGATGATGGCTTCCTGTCGCCATCCCACACAGCTGTTGCCTCACACTCTTCAGCTAAAATAAGAAGAGACAAATTTAGAAAACTGTTCAAAAAAAGTGAGAAAACATTTCAGCATGAGAAATGAAGACACAAATGGTTTAATGCCAATCTAGGTCAGATGATCCAGAATAGAGGGCAACATCCAATTTTTGTAAAATATACTACATACTGGATCACATCAAATGAGCTTCTGAAATACTATGCGTTTTCTTACGTTTATCAGCAGGGCTGTCTGCCTTCTCCTGACTACTCTCCTCTTCCTCCTCCAGAGCCTCAAATTCCAGTTCCTGGTCTTCGGGGATTGCATCTCTGGAGTTTTTCTGAAGGGTCACACAAACCTCATTTAATACATTTCATTTTTTACTTAAAGGGATACTCCACTTTTTTTTTGGAAATAGGCTCATTTTACCACTCCCCCACAGTTAAACAGTTGGGTTTTACCGTTTTCGAATACATCCAGACGATTTTCTGATATTTAGAAGAATATCAGTAACCAGACAGTTTCTGGTCTCATTGACTTCCATAGTATATTTTTTTTCCTACTATGGAAGTCAATGAGACCAGAAACTGGCTGGTTACTGATATTCTTCTAAATATCAGAAAATCGTCGGGATGTATTTAAAACCCAACTGTTTAACTCTGGGGGAGTTGTAAAATGAGCCTATTTCCCAAAAAAGTGGACTATCCCTTTAAGAATGCATCTTAACTTGGGCTGGGCGTTATATATCGGTTATCGGATGACATTGTTGTGCGAATCTCATCAGTAAATCCGGTTCCTTGATTAGTAGTAAATCGCTATCACCTGCTATCAGATGGAGTGACATTTACTACACAGAGCCGTGGTTCACTGACAAGCTTGAGCCATATCGCATTAATTATCGCAGGCGATACGTCCATGATAATTAATGCGATATGGCTCAGCTTGTCAGTGAACTACGGCTCTAGTAAATGCCACTCCATCTGATAGCAGGTGATCGCGATTTACTACTAATCAAGGAACCGGCTTAACTGACGAGATGCGCATAACAATGTCATCCGATATATATATATCGCCCAACCCTAATCTTAACTACATAGTATTTGAGGTCACAAGCAAACCTTGATGCACATGAAGGCCCCAGAAGAATCAAAGGTTCCCATCTCCCCCTCTTCTTCATCAGTGCACCATTCAGGCAGGCCATCTCGATCTTCCTCTCCTCCCTCACTTCCAGCCCTTCTCCGTCCACCTTCTCCATCTCGGAAGTCAAAGTCAAACTTCCTACGACGGCCGTCCCCACTGGCATGATCCCGCCAACCTGCGGAACGAGGACCCCCGTCTAGATGAGAGAGAAGACAAGTTTAAACAAAGAAATATAATAATACAAATGAATTTATTAAAAAATGAATGAACCTTCACGACGACATCCGGCAATCCTCCAGCTTCCCCCAGGATCTGTCCCATCATCTTCCTCCGCCTCCTCTCTGAGCGTCCGCCAGTTATCGCTGTCTGAGCGCGTATAGTCCTTCCTGCTTACTGCTCCGCCCTCCTCAAATCCACCACGCCCACCTTCACGCCTCAAGGGCTTCTCGAAGCGCCGCTCACCTCTAAAACAGAAAATATTATATTAATGATCAGCATAAGAGAACATCTCACTTATATGCACTGTATATTACCCACCTGTCATCCCAGCTCTGGCTGCGGTGCATCTCTCGTCCTCGGCCAAACCCAACCTCTTCATCCACACTTCTTTGGTAGAATCCACCTTCTCCTCTGCCTCTCCCTACAGAAAAACAAAAGATTATTAAGTATTTTAAATAGTTTTCTATTAACAATATAAATAAAAAAGTAATATATATTTATATAAAACATAATACATTTCTTGGGAAGAGGTGGAATGTGACCTTGACATTTCTTTGTAATTATATATATATATTAAAAAAAAATAAAAAATATGAAGAAACGCATGTAGCTGGAAAGATGATCTTCATTGTAGTCACACATACAGACACACAGACAAAAAAAAAATCTAATTAATTTCACACTCATGTCCATACAGAAATAAGTTTATAAATAAATCATGTAATTTCAGCACTTGGAAAAACAATGACCGGTTTCAACGTTTTTCTAAGCACTCGCCACTTCAGCTGACCAGATAGTCCCGTTCCAAACTCACACCAATGGTCACAACCCACCTCGACCTCCTCGAGTGCTTCCACGCCCTCTAGCTACACCTGTTGGTACAGCGCCGCCTCCTTTACCCATAAGCCTTAGCACAGCCACACTGTTCACAGACATCGAGAAGTTTCTCTGAAAGGTGAAAGGAAAAATCAATCAAAAAGATGACTGATCTATTTACAACGAACAATATCATTCATGTTTATCCAAAGAAATTAGATTCTTGTGACAATCACAAGACGCATCAGTGAAGACTCACCTGTTCCTCCTCAGTCAGGGGAACCAAGGCCAATGGCTGCTGAGACTCATCCTGCAGGATAGCAGCAAACTCCTTATCCTGCATGTCCTCAGGGATCTTAACACACAAAGCAAATCTCAGGTAAGAATGTAATGGACAAACACTTATTGACTACTACAAAGAAAAAAAACCTTGAGTAATAGAGGCGGCCTTTAATTGATTAGACTTTTACTACAGATGTCTTGAGTCCCTCACCTTGTTATCTTTGACATAAAGTGCTAACATCTCCTCGCGGCCATAGCGGTAGTCGGCCAACTTGGACTTTGGCATTGCAGGGGAAGCGGGAGGGGACGTCACACTCCCCCCTCTTGATAGTGCACGGAGCCTGAAGAAAGCAGACACTGTCATGACTATTTATATAATGATTCTGGATTCAATATTGTGTATAAGCAGAAAACATGAGGAGAAATTGATTTTTTTTAATTATCAAAAAAAAAAAAACCCACACACAGATTAGTTTACTCAAAGAGGAAACATCTGTTTCCTCCTGCTGACACTTATGGAGGAAGCCAGATTTTTTTTTTTTAATCTACAATAGAATGTGGCAGTTTAGAAATTTATAGCATATCATACAAATAAAGAAAATCAGATTATCCAGCACATTTTTAAACTTGTTTAACAGGGTAAAACAATTAACTTCATGTTTCTAGCTGTGCTGCATTAGTTAGAACTTAGATCAGAACAGTGGAAGAAAAAGTGTGCTCCTCAAACATACTGCCAAAGAGTCTAAATCTTTATCCTTCAATCATCAAAGTGCAAAAAAGTACATGCTTGAAGTGCAAAAAACACTCTGCAAGTACCAAACGCAAGTAAATATTGATTTTGGCGAGTTTCGGCCAAGGGGTTGGTAACTGAAAAAGTTATATTACCATTCTGGACCGAAGTTAAGTGTCTCAGCAGTCATATTCTGTGTGTCCAGAGGGCTCAAGGGTTCTGTTATTAAATGACAAAACAAAGCATTGAGGTTTCTGAGTCTCATTTATCATTCAACATACACACATCGAAATATAAGTGTTATTAATATAAAACAATAAAAAAAGCATGTCATGGGAAGGGGTCAGTGTGCTTACCACGTCCAAAGAACAGGACTGTACAGGAGCAGGATAAACGGGGGGACAGGAATGCTGCGGTTCTGTGCGCTGAGGTGGACTTGGTAATTCTAAACTCTGTATTAATATTATTATAGCTGCCAGTTTTAGGTAGATAAAGGCTGATGAATATCTAGCGAGATATAAGAGCTCCAAAAGATGGCACACACCCTAATGTGCCAGTAACTATAGATCTTTAAAAAAGATTCAGCAAATTGAAAACACTTTACAGAGGAAAAATACACCAATTAAGAATTTGTGGCAGCATAAACAGCAACTGCTGTTGGACAAAAACTTTCAGGGCAGTTTGTAATGCTGTAACTAACTATTGCTGGGTAACTCTCCTCTCTAATCTTGATCTCTTTTATTTATATTCTGTATTTTTATGAATTATTTTTACATATGCAAGCCTTCAGCTCCCAACTTCTCACACCTGCAGACAGAAAAAAAAAAAAACGCTTATAATGCAAATATAAATCATGAAATGCAAGTGGCTTAAAGAGACAGAATCAGGATAGTTCTATTCAAATTATTAAATTCACATTCAGTAGTTTCAAACAATGATAATGTTCATTCTTTTCCGAGCAGTGAACGGTTGTACATCATAAAAAAAACAATTTCAAAATTTTTCCAATTGTTGTTATGCATAAAGTTTGTATGGATTCATGGACAGATTACATGGAAATCTAATTTAAATCACACCTACAGGTAGTGTAAAGTTATGTATAAAATATGAATACTATTACAACACTTTACAGTAACATTTTAAATGTATTTTTATATAGTCTAATCAATTGTAGCAAAAAAACAAATTCTTCTATTCATCTAAGTTTTTTTTGTCCGTTCGAACAGAGATGGTGACAAAGGGGAAAAACTGCAGACTGCAGCTTTAATTCAGCTTAACACTTTTAATTTCCATTAATTTATTTCCCCTTTAATATATTTAGATATTTTCAGCTTTATTTCAACAATTATTTTAATAGTTGTAAGTTAAAACATAACACTGATCACAGGACTATTTAAGTAAATAACAATCACACACAATATTGACCAGTTGCAGAAACGTAATTATACACTATATAACATATATACATATCATTAATTTTACCATTCAAATAAAACAAACTGCTTTTAAACACCATAAATTCCAGATTTTTTACAGCTAAATGAACGCAAATAAACAACAAGAGTGAAAGACTTCTCAGTTTCTCAAAAATACCTACTAGTCACAATTTAGCTAATAATTTACTTTCAGGATATTTGGTCGGCAACGAAATTTAAATGCACATTTTCCTTTTACTTGGTTTATGACACTTATAAAATCTACAATTTTAGCATATCAAAAAGCTCACAAATCAAATGTGACCACTGACAAGCATTGATACCCTGACTGAATTAAAACTATAGTAGTAGACACTATAAATATTATATGCACCAATTACAGAAGTTTTAGCTGCATTATGAACATGTTTAATGGAAATGTATCATGCACACATTAAAGAAGAGCAACAGGAATGAAACAGCTATGGTCATGAAACTATTTAAACAAAACGTGTAAAAAATGTGCACATAAAATCAGTCAGCAGCACATTTATTATAGATGAAAACTGTAAAAACAACAACTTTTACAGGTGGTATTTAACCAACTAAATAACATTTATTTGTATATGCCAAAAGGGGAGCAAATAAAATAGCTCACCATCAACAAACTTTCCAAACTACAATCATAACTCCAGAAGCAACACTCCCAGCTCAACGCAGCGCTGTTATACAACACGGTTGAGCCACAGAGAAGCTTTCTAGTGAAGGTTAAGAAGTAATCTAATTATAATCAGCGAAATAAGTCTGAGGTTTTAAGAAGACCATGAAAAGGAACCGCAGCGGAAAAGTCTGAATATGCTCGCGTTGCGCCCTCGCTGCAGGCCTTCACTAACGTTACTCCACTCTCCACTACGAGCCATATGAATGATACTGTGCGATTAGCTCGAACCACATAGATGTGCGATTAACACTCAAATGTGATTGCACCAACCAATACACAAAGCACGGTAACGTAACCCAATGAAATGTAGAAAAGGATTTAGCACGCACCTTTTCTGCAAACCTGCTGCTGGCCAGCTAGGCTAAACTAGCCAGCCACTGTTTTCTCCGGAGTTGGGTCTTCTTTAAAGAACTCACTCCTTCTGCACGTTCGTGCTTCGCAGTAACCGGTGGTTTCAACTGGTATGTCTCCGTTTTGATCACTTGTCTTGTGTGAGTTTCGATGTTTAATTGAATATCTATTTTCCCGTATCTGCAACGGTCGCAATGTTTCTGTCTCGCTCGGTCGTCTTGTTGTTTGTGTTTTACAAAAATGGCTGTTGGACATGAACCACATGAGAAATTCATCCAATGAACTGCGATGTTCTTCTTCTTTTATTTTTGGTTGACGGCGGGTAGAAAACTGCAACAGCGCATTACTGCCATCCACTGGCAGCGGGCGGCATAATATGTTTTTTGTTGTTGTTTTGTTTTATAATTATTATTATATTTTAATCATTAATACTATTATTATCATTTGTCATTATGATTTTGCTGTATGTTGCATGACTTTCTTATATTAGCAAAACTACAATACAACATTGGAGGACGAGTGTGTGAAGAACCACAAGTGTCATGGAAATAGTAATAAAGCATTTTTTTAATCAATAACCAATTGGATAATAAAAATAGGCATAAATACATTTGCTTACCAATTAATTAATTCAATTAATTAAAATGAATGAATGAATGAATTAAAACACTGCAAAGCAAAATACAATTGCAATTTAATTAATTTTTAAAGAGAGTAAAAACAATTATAAAAAATAATTTATTCTTTTTAAAAATGGATGTGCAAAAAACATCACTCAAGAATACAATAAATAGTGGAATTTCAAATTGCACTTGAAAATACAAATTAAAAAGTATTGAACTATTTATCTATGTATTAATATTTCACTAATAAAGGGTTTAACCAATTATTAGCTATACTATATTAATTTAGCCTATTAATTAATAAAAAACTTTATGACTTTTAATTGGACGATCTTAAGTGACGATCAAATTTAAATTTAAAGCCATCTTTATTTATGAAATCTTTATTTTTGTATAAATTCTGCGTAATAACTATTTAAGGTTAACGCTGTGCTGTCGTGTATGAGCAACTGCATGAGTGGGGCGTCAGGTGAGTGGTGTGCAGTTATTTGACTATCATTGCAGTATGAAAAATGGGCACACTTTCTAAGGCGCTATTCAAAGGAGATTTCTAAGGAGAGCAGCGGTGTTTCATTTCAATGTAATGGATCACCGGACAGTTTTGCAGGTGTTTCTCTACTCTCTGTTTGTGACTGTACGCTCAGAAGTGCAGAAAGATTTTTCAGAAGAATGCCGTGAATTTATGTATATGGGCACCCCCCCACGGGGTCTGGAGAACCGGTCACTTAAAAAGATCTGTCAGCGTTACAACGGTAAGCCTCGGTATGTCAGTCTGTACGACGTGGTGGATCACATCCCGGTGTATTCTGCCTACACATTCAAACGCTCCGACGGCATCAAGAAGGTTGACGTTCCTTGGATGTTCGAGCCTCAGGTAATAAACAGTTTGGTGAAGTTAAATTTTCTTAAAGTTTTAAATAATCATTGGAATCAATAGCTATTAAGTATTGGTGCATAAAAAAGGCACAAGTCTCTTCAACACGCAGCTGAGGAAAAACACACACAAACCAGCTTAAACTGGTGATTCTAGTCTTATCTGTTCTCCCAGCCTGGTTTTAGATTAGCTTTGGACACTGTTATGATGGTCAGACTGCCGAACAACCTTCTTAGCCAAGGTGTGAGACAAATGTTAACCAGCTAAAACTAGCAACCATCTTAGCCAAGGTGTAAGACCAATGTAAACCAGCTAAAACTAGCAACCATGGGCTGGTTTAAGCTGTTTGTAGTAGATAAGTTGCTGGTCTAAGATGGTCTCCCAGCATTACTATGAAAAGTGTCTAACAATCTTATTCTGCTGTAATTTATTTTCTACATGTGTATTCACTTGTAAACAGCTCTCCACAACATCAGACTCTGGTGAGATGCAGCCATTCCCTCCAAATGTCCACGGCAGTTTTTCAGACGCCCAGGCCGTCTTGGAAGACTACTCAAACACTGTCGATTTCGAGCGAGGTCATTTGAACCCTGATGAGCACCAGGCTCACCCCGATGACAAGGCGGCCACATACACTCTCACCAATGTGGTCCCGCAGGTCCGCGAGTTCAACATTGGCCACTGGAAACACCACGAGCACATCATCCGCCGCCGACTCAACAACTACTGCCGCGGTACGGCATACATAGTCACTGGGGTCACCACATCTGGAAGGATGATCCGTAGACACAACATCGACCGAGTGGCCGTCCCCACCTACCTGTGGTCGGCATACTGCTGCATCGACTACGATCACAACGCCCCGTTTGATGAACGATCCAAATTCCCGGCCTTCGCATCCCAAGGCCTCAACGAGAAAGTTGGAACGGAGGTCGTAGAGATGTCCGTGCAGCAACTGGAAGATTTTTTGAAGAGGAACACCTTTGTGGACAAGAAGTTTCAGATTTTCTTTGAGAATTGTGAGTCTAACAATGTCATAATGACTGGCAAGACTTAGGTGTCTTTATCCAGTTGATCCCTAAATTCATAAACACATTTTCATATCTTTCAGCTGTTAGAGTTGTGTTCTGTAGAATGAATAGTCTTACGCTCTTAAATTTCCAATCAGAATTAATTACAATAAGGGTTTTACAACCTGATGGCACGGTTTCCACAGAAAACATTCTTAGTTCTTTAGAAAACCATTGACGCATCTACAGTACTAACAATTATTGTTGGTTTAACTTAAAAATTAAGTTACTCGGTTGCCGGAGTTCATCGAAATGTTTTATTTGAGTTAATACCATGAAGTAGATCAGTTCAATAAAAAGAAACTAGAAATAATATGTCATCTGAACCACATTAACTATCTAAGTTGATTTGACAAAAGATAAAAAGTTGTGATAACAAATTATGAAAATAATATTTGTGTTACATTCAAAAGTTTGGGGTCAGTAAGATTTTTGAATGAAGTCTATTATGCTCATTTCATTAATAATGCAGTAAAACAGAGTAATTTGTGAAATTTTCATAGAATTGAAAATAACTGTTTCTATTTTAATTTACTTTTAATTCATGAAATTTTTACCACCCAAAGCTGAATTTTCATCATCATTGGTCCCAGTCTTGTGTCCTAAAATATATATTCAATATATTATTGTAATAATAATAATATGCTGATTTGTTGCACAATAAATATTTATTAATATTATCAATGTTGAAAACAGTTGCTCAGTGTTTGGCACTTTTAGCATACGTCCTCACAAACTGTCCACTTGACCCCAAACTTTTGGACCGTAGTGTATGTGCTTTAGATAACCCAGATATTATTGGATTGGATTTAACACTTTACTTTTCATCCTTTTTTGTTGTTTGTTTGTTGGGTAAACTCTTTATTCATTTCTTTTAGTCTTGAGAATGATTTAAGTTTCAGAAATATTTGAAATCTACAAATGAAGAATATTTATCCATGAGAGGACAGAACACGTAGATAAACTGAGACAGGTATAATGACTGTAATCATCTGGAGCCTCAGAAGTTTTATCAGGTCTATTAACTTCTTTATGAAACTGCAACAACTAATCTAGTCTCACTTGGTAATAATGTTTCTGACAATAATTTATCTGAACACTGTAACTCTTCTGAAATAAAAATTGACCACTTAATCTTCTCTCTGTGCTTGTTGTCTGTCAATAACCAATATGAAAAACATAAAAGGCAGGTGTTCTGGATTCATATTTTCAAAATCAAACAAATGAACCTGATATCAAACTCATATCAATATAATGTGTACACTGTCTACTGATTCTAAGTAAAAATTGCTTTTGTGTGTGCATGCAAGATAAACAATGGTATGAATATGAGATAACTCGTGAAATATCAGATAAACAAATAAAAAGAAGGTGAACAGAGCCCCATTTCTTCCTAATCCCTTGTTCACACAAGGATACAGACAGGTTTATCACCTCTTCACACTCTACTGAGGACTGTTTGTTCTCTCTGTTTGTCCTGATTCACATGTTCTAGACAGCCAAGTCACCCATAAAGCCGAAAGAGAACCTGCATATACATTGTTCTGGGAATATGTGATATGGTTTTTTGCAGTATTTGCCTGAACAATCATGTCTATCCCTCCGTTTAATGATTAATCCTTCCAAAGAAAGCTGCAGGTGAAAAAAAAAAAGAAAGAAAAACGAGGATGGCTATTACTTGTTTGATTATAAATTTATACATATATATATATATATATATATATAAACACACATATATATATATTCAAACAAGTATGGAGTATATAGAGTTGATATATATACATTATATAGTTGTTATATACTGTATATATATATATATATATATATATATATATATATGGCGTTTGAGCAGTAATGTCATTATGACTAAATTAAACACCTCTGATTGGCCAATGTGTTCAAGAAATCAACAGACATGTCTGCGATTGGCTACACTAAAAACTATTGGAATAGAAAACATTTGACGCTCTTTGCTTATGTCTCAGTTCTTAAATCTTTTGTGTTCATACAAATATTTACACGTTAAGAAATTTGCTGGAGAAAAAGCAGTTGAAATTGAGAGGATCTAAAATAGCAACGTGAAAAAGTGTCAAAATGTTACAGTGTTGTATCCTAGATCAATGTAACTATACATCTTTACGTCTTCACATAGAGGCGTGAAGCTGTTTCGCTTTTCACATTTAGGCAAAGTCTCACTAGTTCTGTTTTGCTTATCTAGTCAGAGGTATTCAAAGGAACCAGCTTCGACTTTCTCTCACTTGCTCATTCTAATCAAAGAAACACTCGCGTACGACCGTCAGTGAGCTCCTTTGACTAAAATGCATCCTTCGATCATCCTTCTGGCCCTTGTCATCACAATGTGGCTCTCCGAACACCGGGGAACTGCAACCGTGGTTGAAGACTTCAACCATGTTGAGAGATGCAAGGACTCGCTGTATATGGGCACCCCACCGCGAGGCTTCAGAGCTGTCAGGCTCAAGAAGATCTGCCAGCGCTATGCTGACAAACCCAGATTCGTGACCCTTTACGACCCCCAAAACCGCATCCCAGTTTACTCTGCGTACTCCTTCAAGAAAACAGAGGGTGATCGGCGTGTGGACTACCCCTGGATGTATGAGCCTCAGGTATGAATCACTCTCAGGAAAAAAGGTACACAAAAAGGTCACTGGGGCAGCAGCACCCTTTCAAAGCCTACTAATGTACAAAAATATTGTTGGTTTAACTTAAAAAATGAAGTAACCTGGTTGCCTTAAATTTTTTAAGTTCATTGAAATGGAAAAATTGAGTTAATACAATGAAGGAGAATGATTTAATCATCAGAAATTCAAAATATTATGTTATCTGAACTACATACATTTTTTAAGTTGATTTGACAAAAGAAAGAATGTTGTGATTACAAATAATGAAAGTATATATTTTACAGTGTTGATATAAAATGTAATTATGTAAACTATTGACTTACATATTATAATCGGACTTACTAGGTTACCTGAACCTTAACCCATACTGAAAGTACACTGTATACAATAAAGTGCAACCATATAACTAAGTATTTAAATTTTGGAATTCGATTACATAATCTTGGTTACATATAATCAGTTACCCATCATGTACCATTTAGGTAGGCCTACACTTTAGTATAGGCTACCAATATGTATCTTTAAAGTGCACATGGTACATAAAGGTACCCCATTAAAAACCTTTAAGTAAATGGTACCAACCCAGTGAAACCTTTTGTATGCCTATACATTTTTTTTATTTTTTTAAGAGTTTGAGGAATGGCTTTCTTTGTTATGATTTAATGAAGTGGTGACCTACTTTCCCAGCTTGCAGAGCTTGATGGGAATGGGAACATGTTGCCGTTCCCCACCGGATACTTACACATGAAGTTTGAGGACAGCCAGGCGGTTTTGGATGACTACTCCGACGTGGTGCAGTACGAGCGAGGCCATCTGAATCCAGACCAGCACCAGTCAGACCCACAGGACCGAGCGGCTACCTACACACTCACCAACGTCGTGCCAGAAATCCGCGAGTTCAACATCGGTCCGTGGCGCCAATACGAAGAGCGCATCCGCGTGCGCCTCAACAACTTCTGCCGGGGCACAGCCTTCATCGTAACTGGGGTTACCACTACCGGAAACATGATCCGACGCAACAACCAGGATCGTGTTGCCATCCCCGAAGATGTGTGGTCTGCCTACTGCTGCACCGATTACGACCGGAACGCGCCACACGTCGTGCGCGTCCGCTTCCCAACCCAAGCGGCCCTCGCCAAGAATGCAAAGGAGGGGAACACAGTCCAAGAGCTCTCAGTGCAGGATCTGGAGAATTACCTGATAAACAGAATGGATGTAGACAAGAACTTCCAGCTGTTCTATGATAACTGCATCTCACCTTCACCTCTTCCTCCATACCTTCATCATATCAACTGAATCGACTTGCCTTCAGCTTATAGCTTATAGCTTATAGCTTTGGTTGTGGTTTCGTTTTTTTATTTTTTATTTTTTTTTTTTTTGCTTTCTTCTTTCCTGTAGCTTCACCAACACTGTTTAATTCATACACTAGGCTACTTCAAAAGTTTGGGGTCAGTAAGATTTAAAAAAAAAAAATACATATTTTTATTCAGTAAGGATGCGTTAAATTGGTCAAAAGTGTCAGTAAATAAATACATTTATAATGATATTCAAATAAATGTTGTTCTTTTGAACTTTCATATTCATTTATTAATTTATGGAAAAAAGATGAAGGCCTATCTGAAGGGACTGATTTCTGAAGGATCACGTGACACTGAAAACTGGAGTAATGGTGCTGAAAATGTAGCATTGCAGAAATAAAATATATTTTAAAATATATTCAAATAGAAAACTTTTAAACTGTTTTGTTGAATAGCATGATTTCAACAAAACAGCATGAACTACTTTTTTCTAAAACATAAACAAAAACTTACCAGCCCCTAACTTTTAAACATTAGTGTATATGCCAAAACATATTTTTAATTAATTATTCATACTTATGGGAAATCAAGGAAAACAATGATTTTGTGTGTAACTTTTTTCCTCTGCTTACAACTATTTTATTGCTTTTATCTTAACATTAATCATTATATGCACAGAGTAATCGTGACAAAGTGCCTCAGTTTGCATATAAATGCTACGTAATTCACTGACACCACCTTAAGTTCTAGTTTGTGTTTTTTAAGGATGCACATATGGTATATCTTTATAAAGATGGTGTCTAAAAAACCCTGACATGTCACATTTTCCCATCCTTGTTGATTCAATATAACATGACTGATACAAAACAATAAAAAGGACAATTCTAGTCGAATTTCATCATTACACCCACTTGATCACAATTTGATATAATTAATATCAGGAATACATTTCTGTAACAGATGCTGTATCAAATCAATATAACATTGTGAGAAACAGGAAGAGAATGAGTTATGAAGAGAATTAATTATCATTATGATCTCTTTAAATCAGATGAATCTCTCTTTCATCAATGTTCAGTTGATCAGTTTATAAAAACATTTCGTCAGTTCTAGACAGTCCAAATTTTCAGTCATCATTCTAAGGATGAAAAGGATAAAAATGTCATGGTAAAAGATGTGAAGAGTAGATGAATCTGGAAGATACTTGTTAGCCTGTGCACATTTGCAGTGACAGTGGTTTATAAAGGCCTTGAAAACAAGAAATGGTCATACAAGAAGTAGAACATCTGCCCACATCTTGCTGTTATTCTGTATGACCTAATTCCACGGTGATATATTCTGCCTGAATACCTATGATCCAGTTATATTTTCCCTTTAAAATAGCACAAACGGCTTCCAACACTAAGGAAATACAGCCTTTATGAAAGTCCACAATAATTCCCAGGTCACATAGGACAAGTCTTTAATGATTGACCACTGTAAACGTAATACTATATTGAGATTAGCAAATTTGTATGATATTCCTTTCATTTCTTAAGGCTGTAATCTAATCTCAGAGAGACACAAATGAGGATGGATATGCAAATGAAGCTCACAAGGCTGAATAAACCAACTCTCTCTCTCTCTCTCTCTCTCTCTCTCTCTCTCTCTCTCTCTCTCTCTCACATATTCTCCTTTATATTCCTTTATGTAAATTGTCTTTGGTTAATATTATTACTGTCGTCGTATTTTTGTCTATACTGCCATGGCGAATGAACTCTGATGCAAAAATATGATTTTTTTTCTTTCTTGCTGGTTTCTGTGCAAGTTGGAAGTACTAGTCTGTTCCGAAAGACTTTGGCCCTATGTATATGATCAAAGACCCCTGATCCCAGATCAGGAAAACACACAGATGAATCAGGTGCCTTCTATCTCACTATTACAGAGCCTCAGGCCAGCGACTTTAACACATGTCCCTCAGTCTAAAATCACCATGGGGTCCAAATATACAACATTGTTGTATATTTCCGCAATAAGGTGCTCAGAAGGCACTAGCGCTAAGGAAGACCCTAGGGCCCGGCCCATAATCCATGCTTGAGTAGTGCAACCTATTTCTACAGCTGTGACCAAACCTGGACCAAACGGTGCATGGCTGGCTGTAGTTTAGTATTTGTACACTAGATGGTGCTGCTGTCAAAATAAAAACACCGTAATCTTGACATTTTTCTAGTTAGAAGAAACATTTTTGAAAAAATCTTGGATAATATTAATTAAATGTTGTTGTTTTTTTTCTGAAAACGTAAATCATCAAATAATCGTATAAATGAGCTGGTGTAAGCAGGTCTGCTGTTTTTTCTCCCCTCAATAAGGCCTAGGCCTATTCATTTATACAGTCACCAAATATAGACTGTATAAATGAATAAATGAATGACTGTATAAATGAATGTTAAATGTAAATGTTCCTAGAAGCACAAAAATAAGTGCTTCTAGGAACAACCTCAAACGTGAGCCTTCCAAGGACAGTACACAGAGCATTGTGCAACACGGTGACTGCCAGAAGCGCAGACAGAATGCGCGCAGGAATACTATCAGGACGCACGAGGAGGAACCCTATGCGAGGAACACGGTCGTGCACGAGATCAGGCTAGTCTGCAGACTGTGCAAAAAAAGATCATACTAAGTTAGTTTTGAGGCATGTAAGATTTTAAATTATAGAAATGAATGAATAGGCATACTATTATTCAGCAAGGACGCAATAAACTGATCAAGAGTGACAGCAAGGACAAGGATTTCTATTTCACAAAAATGCTGTTCTTTTGACTTTCCTATTTAATAAAGAATCCTGAAAAAAAAATGTATGGCCACCATTTCCACAAAAATATTAACCGATTGGTGTGACATCACTCGCTCTCGTGGTACTTTGATCTCTTCCTTTGGCATCATATAATTCATTTCATCGAAATACTACGCACATGGCACCCTCTAGCGTCAATATAACACGCAGAACCCAAGGTGACTGGCATCCTTTAGCGTCAATATGAGACGCAGACCCTACCCCAGACCTAAACCGAACCCATTACAGTGCATGTTAAATTGACGCTAAAGGGTGCAAACAACAAACAACCGGAAGGAAGTGATTCAATTAATTATTCTTTTAGTAGGTCTATACCATTTTAAATATTCAAGTCTCTTGAACAAATTAAAGGGTTAGTTCAGCCAAAAAGGAAAATGATCCCATAATTTACTCACCCTCAAGCCATCTTTTAATGCCACTTAAATGCCACAGCCTACCTGGGCATTGTTTCTGACCATGTCCATCCCTTTATTGGCACAATGTACCCATCCACTGATGGCTACTTCCAGCAGGATAATGCGCCATGTCACAAAGCTCAAACCATTTTAAATTGGTTTCTTGAACATGACAATGAGTTCCCTGTACTAAAATGGCCCTCACAGTCACCAGATCTCGACCCAGTGCATCTTTGGGATGTGGTGGAATGGGAGCTTTGTGCCCTGGATGTGCATCCCACAAATCTCCATCAACTGCAAGATGCTATCCTATCAATAGGGGCCAGCATTTCTAAAGAATGCTTTCAGCACCTTGTTGAATCAATGCCACGAAGAATTAAGGCAGTTCTGAAGGTGAAAGGGGGACAAACACAGTATTAGTATGGTTTTACTAATAATCCTTTAGGTAAGTGTATATATGGGGATGATTAGGAGGCCATGATGGACAGAAGCCAAGGGGCAAATTTGGTTAGGATGCCTGAAGGATCTCTAAAAATCATGGGATTTTTAATGACCACAGAGAGTCAGGACCTCGGTTTAAAGTCTCATCAGAAGGACGGTGCTCTTTGACAGTATAATGTCCCCGTCACTACACTGGGGTGTTAGGACCCACACAGACCACAGGGTGAGCACCCCCTACTGGCATCACTAACACCTCTTCCAGCAGCAACAGGAGGTCTCCCATCCGGGTTCTTACCAGCCCCAGCCCTGCTTAGCTTCAGTGGGCACCCAGTCTTGGGCTACAGGGTGATATGGCTGCTCGATATTATTTAAAAGAACTGCAACTAGAATGGCTTGATTTTTGGGTGAACTAACCCTTTAAATCCCATCAACACCACGCTGGACTGCCTTCCCCATGCACTTATAATGCTTTAAGAGTAGCTGTGTCATGCTCTTTTGAGTGGCGACCCCAGTATGAACAGGGTCAGTGACACAATGATGAATCAAATGAAGAAGAATACTAATCAGAGGTATCTAATGAATCCTGGGAAACGTGGTGTTTGAGCTCAAATGTGTAAAGAAATTTTATATGATTATATGAATGAGCGACATGTTTTAGACATAACTGCTGTGCATTCTAAGGTGTTCGATTTAGGCTACAGTCTCTCAGGGGGGGATGGGTTCGAATCGCATTAAATATTCTGCTTGTGAATACCAGTTCCAAATAAAGAATTCATTTCCAGAGTAGCCACAATGAATTTGCTTTGAATATGGGTCCATTTTTCATCTAGTCTAGTTGGTTTGGTCATTGTCTCCCTTGTCTGTTAAGGTCTGGTGTCGGTTTTGATAGTATTTGTGTTGATGGGTGTAAACCTGGTCTCGCCCCTCCGACCCATCTGCGACCTGAGGGTTCTGGATCATTTTGTTTGAGAAGATTGAAATTCTGAAGTCATCATTGTGAAGTTTCTCTAGTGATTCACACAGAATGTCATGTTATTTTGAGAAACATCACTTCATCTTTCTCTTGTTCTCTCAGCAAGGGTGCAGAGGTTGCTGTGGAGTGATGAAATCCTACTTTGTTCCTCAGTGGTGAGTTGACTTCGCTGTTTGGGAATTTATAGATGTGAGTCATAATGTCTGTTTAAAATGATTAAATACAGGAGCATTATTATATTATAATCTAGTTTTGGTGTATTTTAAAGACTTTTAAAGGGGTCATGAATTGAGAATTCCAATTTTCCTTGATCTTTTGACAATTAAGAGTTTGTTACTGTAAAAATACCGTGTATGTTTCAAATCTCAAAACTTCCGAAAACTGCTTTTATTGAAACCAAGGCCAGAAAACAACATTATCTAAAAAGTGGAGACTTATGATGTCACAGGGCCGAGAAAGAAGAAGATCAACGCCTTGATCGACAAACGATTGATACCATTATATTACCTTTCAAATGATCTTAATACAAGGAAAGTTTTCTGAATGAGTGCATTTTTTGTTTGTTTTCGGTACATTTCACTGTGGATTATTTATTTAAAGGATAGTTCACTTTGAAATTAATTTTTGATATGTTTTAGCTTACCTCAAGGGCATCCAAGATGTAGGTGTCTTTGTTTCCACAGTATTTTCAATTTTGATATTTTTAGGTCAAACCGTTCTTGTCTGTTAGTCATATAATGGAGGTCTACCTCAAAGAGCACGCACAGAAAAGTCTAAATTAAACATGATTTAATGACTCGTAAATGTATAGCCTACACATTGATGGCCTAAGACACGAAACGAGCGGATTGTGTGAGAAAACGAACAGTATTTTTATCGTTTCTACCTCGAAATCACAGTCACGTCCGAGTACTCTGAGGGCGGGGGCGCTTCTGTCTGCGCAAGCGCCGGAAAACATCGGGACTGGAGTGATATCGTGCGCGTACGTCACTCATTGTTTACACAGAGATTTTAGAAGTGTTACCCTTCACTGTGAAGATCTAAACATATTTAGATATACAGGAAAGTGCAATGGAAGGCGATTTCGATATATCAACAGACGACGTTGATTTTTTTTCGCAACCGCCCAAGAGATCACTTCTGGCGCTTTCCGGCGCTTGCGCAGTCCGTGTCTTTCTTGTCTTAGGCCATTAATGTGTACTTACATTTACGAGTGTACTTTAATTTAGACTTCTCTGTGCATGTTTTTTGAGGTGGACCCCATATACCTCCATTATATGACTGACAGACAAGAACGGTTTGACCTAAAAATATCAAAATTGAAAATACTGTGGAAACAAAGACACCTACATCTTGGATGCCCTTGAGGTAAGCTAAAACATATCAAAAATTAAATTTAAAGTCCCTTTAAATCAGTCGCAATTTTGGACGCAGCTGCTTGCAAACAGACTTTTACGTTATGGATCTGGCAACGCCACAAACATGTAAGTAACCATTCCAATGCCTGATCTGTGATCAGTGATTTCTGATGTGTAATCAAGTTCAGACAGAAAGTCGTTCTCTCAAAATCATTCAATACTGTTCATGCATGACTAAACGATCAACATGTCATTGTTTCTCTTAGATGAAAATAATCTTATTTAAATTGTGACGGTCTCCAAATGCCCAGGCTGTCAATCATACAGCGCGAGTTTATCTGGACACTTGCCAAAACTTGTAATGAAATCAATGACTCTGTTACACTCCACAACGAAGCTCTCACTGGATTTACAGCGTATTTGCATTGTTATTTGGTGAAAGCATTCGTGAGAGTGCAGAAACTGTGTTGCAATAATGAGATCTCCACAGCAAGTGTATTATGTGAAAGCATTTTTACAAAGCAGTATGAAAGCATTTCAAAATCATTGACAGATGTGTCCAGATTCAAGGCATGGAGGAGGTCCAGACTGGAATGTCTGAGTCCAGCGAAGAAAACAATGAGCAACTCTTCTCTGGCCAGCACTCTGGATAACAACACCAGTAACATACCACGGCCTCGGCCAGATCCTGCAGTCTTGATTTACAGGTATAGTAAGAGTGTCAGTGTGAAGTCTTGTTTCTTCTTGACGATTCTGACATTAACATCTTGCATGAGCCTCTTAGCTAATTTGGCATTCTAGGAAATTGTGCAAACATGCAGTCTGCCCTATAATTCTCTCTCTTATGTTGGCTGCAGTCAAAGCGCCAGCATCATTCTGGGAAGTGCGTTTTGTTTCCCCAAAGCTTGATAGTTCTGTGACTTTTGTGAAGGCAAAAATGATTTCAAGAAAAGCTCAGCGCTAGACAAGAATTTTAGACATGCTGATAGACATGCTGATTTGCTTCTCAAGAAAGCAACGTTGCTTCAATGTTGAAAACAGCTTTGAATAATATTTGTTCTGGAAACTATGTTCTCTGAAACATTTGTTCTGGAATTTTTTTTTTTTTTTCAGGATTAACTTTAGTGTCAATTTAATGCACCCTAATTAAATTATTTTAATCATACTTACCCCAAACTTTTAATTGGTTTTAACACTGATACTAAGAGATGTTTCTTTACCAGAAAATCAGCTGAAAATTCAGCTTTGACATCACAGGAGTAAATTACATTTTTGCTGTGTGTGTTTGTGTGTACAGTTGTAATCAAAATTATTCAACCCTGAATAGAATCCCACAACAGCACAAATCAGCAAAAAAGGTGTTGTCTCAAGCACACCTGATGCAAATAATCAAGGGCTTCATTAGTTGCACCAGGTGTGCTTCAGCTAGAACACATGAAATATCTGAACTGGCTAGGCTTGTTGAGTGTCACGTTTGACCGCATGATAGAAATAGGCCAAGTCAAAAGAAGTTAAAGGGGCAATGTGTAGGAATTTCTCCCATCTAGCGGTGAAAATGCATTTTGCATTCAAACGAATTGTGCTCTCCAGAGCCTCGCTTTTTCAAATGTGTGTTGCATCTACGGTAGCAATTATGTACCAAAAAAGCTATGACAGGATGTCTTCTAAGGCCCTGTTTACACGAGAACGCTCGCGGGTGAAAACGTAAAAATATTTTATTGGATGTGCCTTTCGTTTACATGGTGACGGCAAAAAAGTGAAACCACCCTCCAAAAATGGAAATCTTAAAAACGCTCCACCGCCGCGTTCCTGTGTAAACGGTAAAAAACGCAAAAGTCTGCTTGACGGTGAAAGTTGTACGCAGGTGCGTGGACTTGGTGTTGTTGTAGTATGCACACCTTGCCGCCTGAAGTGCATACTACATTGAATTTCACACACTTTTGCGTCTCCGTTTGCACGCGGATTTCCCACACAAAACGCTCGTCTAAACGCAGAATAAAAAAAGATGACGCAACGCCACTTTTGCGTTTTCTCTTCAGAATCGTTTCCGTGTAAACATAGCCTAATAGCACTTCGTCGAGTGTTCCTTTGGTTGAACAGGTTTGTTATTTCAAACACCATAGTGAACCACGGCCCCAATATATGATTCATTGCTGTCTGTAACAATGCATAAATATATATCAATCATCATCAGTGAACCATTCCCAGGGTGCTAAACTATAATGAATCATGCTTAATATATAATACAATACATGAAATGGGAAGGGTAACTAGCTTAGTAGCCAAAGCCATTACCAGTAGTTGATTTTCACACCAGAAAACTGTCTTGGTTTGATTTACGTGTTAATCAGATTTTAGAGCAATCTATCCATTTCATAAATTTTTGAGATGATCAATTTTCTCTAATTAGTCGGTTCTGTTTCCGCAGCAGGCCAGGTCCACAGTTCTTCCAGATGATTCAGCTCCTGCCAGCTCACAGATGCAGGAGGTCTCCTCTATCCCAGAACTTCTGCAGGTGCAGAGCAGCTTCCTGCGAGGCAAAGTCAGACTCCTGCTTTCAGCTGCACCAGCCTGCCAGCGGCAAAACAGCTGATTCGACGAACTGTTTACAACGGCCACGCATACACACAAACCCGCTTGAAACAAAAACGCTTGATGACTCCTTCCTCAATCTTAAAGAGCTTATACTATCTGGGTGTCGCTCTTCAAATGCTCTATTGCAATTATAAGCCTGCAGTCATCTAAAGTATGCATCACGTGCAGAGTGAAGAAAAAACCGTAGCGTATTCAACAAGGCGATCGTGGCAGAAGAACCTGCGGGGGAACATATCAGAGCCCACAAGTGGACCCGTCGCTGACTCAAAGGCTCATAGCGGTTTGGGGAATTAGGACAACAACATGCAAAGAAGGAGACATGCCTGTCTGTATGTTTAATAGCCTTTTTAATGTTGTCCAGTTCAGATACACAACATACAGTGTGTAGTAGCCTGTATAGGAAATAGAAATATGAATTTCATTCTTTAGACAAGTTGCGGTCACACAGTCCCCTCATCAAGCCTTTTTTTTACGTTGCTGAAATTCAACAAAATGAAACTCAACAGGTGCAAGTCTTTTTTTTTTTTTTTTTTTTTTTTGGCGACCAAGCATTAATACTCAACATTTGTGTTTCTCAGTATTTTTTTCTTTAAATCCTCTATAATACATAGGCGACCCAGACAAAAAGTATCACCATGTATGTCTGGTGAGAGTGTGCTTTATATGTCTGTCAGTTGCCGGTAGAATCATCTCTCCCTTTATTTTGTAGAAAAATATGAACTGTTTAAATTCTCTACTTTGAAATATATGCAGCTCAAATTCACAACAAAGAGATAAGCCAGAACTCTGTGAAATCCCACTTTCACTCCAACAAAACTCCAATGGTTTGGGAAACATTAAATTTCTAAGAACTTACAACCAGGTAAGAGAAAACAAACACCCCACAGTGTCATTTAGTCCACTGAAGCGTAATGAAGAACACCCAGGAGAATGACTCAAACAGCAGGCCTCTCCAAAAAAAAAAAAAAAACCCAAAAAACCAAAAACGGCTGACTCTAGCGATTTGCATCCTATCGCCTTGTTCCTGGAAATAAAACGAGCTTCTCCAAATAAACGTTCTGATTTAACTCTCTCCAACAAAATATTCTGATTAGAGCCTGATCGGTTCCACCCTCCGTTTTTCAAATGAAACAGAATCAGATGCAGCCGGCGACTCTTTTGTCCGCCGCATTGTCGGGCCTTGCAGCAAATTTGACTTCCAAATGCAATTATTCTCATCAAATGCGCTCATTCTTGACTCAATACATCCTCTAATGTGGATTCGCTTCATTCCCGCTTTCCTCAACATTCATTACGATTTAATGTCTTTTGTCAAAAATATCTGTAAACCTTCAAATGAAAATCGAATAGGGTCTTCAGGAGGGATGTGATTGGATGAATGAACTTGCACCTGTTTTTACAGTGGATACGATTGGCTGTGAACCCAACAATAAACAAAATATTTACAAAGACCATGTCATCTCTTACACTTATAAAAATGTACAGTTTGCATCTTGTGTTTTTCAGAAAGTGGTCTTGTGTGTTTTTCATCCACCCATCGACAAGAAACTCCAAAAACAAGACGACGAGAGAACAAAAAATGGATGGAGATGAGATCGGTGTGCACAGTTGCTTGCGTTATGGATCATAAATGTATATTTAAGTGGTGCGAGGAGTGATGCCTCGTCCACTGTAGAGTAGTGCACCTCTTCAGGCTGCGTAACGGTAGTGCGTTCAGTTTCTGACCGTCACCGTGGCTCAAACCTGATGTACGAAGCTTCCAGAGTCAGTCTCCGGAGCTCATTTAGAGGCCACATCTGTCCTGTTTCTCACACACGCGAACGCAAACGGCCCATTTCCCATTTTCTCTCGGCCAGATCGTTCTCGGCACCCTGAAAGAGAGATTTGTAAAAATAAAATAAAAAAACCCTTTGAGAAGTGAGAGGTTGAATCAGAAGGTCTTATGGGGACTTGTGACAGGGCATATAACAAGATGTCCGCCTGATGACAAGTGAGCTCAAACTGAGATAATCACTCAAAGGTCAGTGTCAGTGAGGGGGAAAGAATGTTCTGGACACGTCATGAGATCTCTTGGGCTCTGGATAAAAGAGAGATACGGAGAGACTCCAGCTGTGCGGGGACAGGCGCAGGTGTTGATCCCGTCGCTCTGGACGTCCAACTCAGCAGAGTCCAAGTCTTGACGCCGAAACGGAGAGAAAGAGCGACAGCGAATGTTCCTTAACTCAATGTGGCGTAATGTGGGTAACTATAGAGGACTATTCGAGCGGAGAGAGATAAAAGGGATAAAATAAGAGAGGATCGTGGATCAGATCAGTCCTTCTCTCTGAGATGAGCTTTGTGGTACGGCTTCCATAATTATAAATGAAAAAAAAAAAAAGAAGGGAACTATTTATCCTCTTTATTATCGTCAAGAATCAGTTTCATTTCCGGATACGACCATGTATCTACAGAGGGAAAAGAATCTCCAAATGAAGTGCACAAAATTTAGCTGATGTAAAAAAAAAAAGAAAAAAAAGGAAAAAAAAAAGAAACAGAGAGAGAAGACTATTGCAGAAAAAGACAACAATAAAAAGACAAACAATGAAGAGTTTTGAATCTCAAATGCAGAACAAATTCTCTTCAAGATGTCCATTTTCCTCTTAAAAAATAAATCATGCAAATTTCCCAAAGCGCAATCAAGGTATAAATTTAATTATTCTATATCTTTACTTTTTTATATATATATATATATATATTTGTATATATATTTGTAGTAGTTGTATCTAGTTGTTCATTTCTCCCCATAGGCAAATAACAGTGACAGTGCAAAACAAAACGCAAAAACAAACATAAAAACGAGAAAGAGACCAAAGAAAACAAAAACAAATTTGGCACTTTTTTCTCAATTCTGCAAATTCCTTGAATAAATCCAGTTCAGGCGATTCTCTCCACGTCCGTCCACAAGACTGCGTCTGATTGGACGATGATCACAGTACTTGGCACAAGAATGCTGGTAAAAATTAGATAGTAGAATCTTTTTTTTTTCATTCATAGCCTTATAAGGTTATCAATAATACATATCATACACGTATGTTTTCTTGATTTATAAAACAGTCCGACGTAGGAAAAACTGTTCTTTTTTGGGGGACTAGAAACAGCTACAGAAGAGCAAAAGACTGTCAGGGAAGAAAAAAAAGAAAAAGAAAGAGATGTAACGTGAGTAAAAAAAAGAAAGAAAAGAAAACAAGAAAAACAGGGGAGGGGATAGCTGCTGTATTGAGTGGGGAAAATGACGTTTCTCCACCCAAAACCTTCTCCGCTACTCAATCCATGAACAAGAGGAGCAGGAAGAGTAAAACAAGAAAGAACGAGAGAGAAACAGTGTGTGCTGGGAGTGGACTTAAAAAGGACAGGAGCGGTGGGACAGTATCCGTGTAGAGCACCACTCTTAGTACCGGAGGTCTGTGTTCCTATCCGTTTGGGGGGCCTGGTCCCCTCAGAGGGGTCACTATACTCGTGTGGTGGAGTGCTGGTGGGGCAGGGCGTTGTTGCTGTGCCCAGCACTTGGTGCAGGGGCAGGGGGGTAAGTGTTGAAGGCATGGAGGGGCTGCATGCCAGTGATGGTGCTGGGGATCATGGAAAGTGCGTTAGCCGTCATGAGTGGCACATCCTCGGGGGCCCGCCGTAGCGCCAGAGTGTAGTCTGGCGGGCACACGGGTGGTCTCAGGGGCTCCAGGTCGCCGAGGAGACCACGTGTTGGAAGGGGCGTGCCGTGATCGAGCTCCACCCTCTGCTGCTTCATCTGCAAGGACATTAGCTCCTCCTCCTGGCTGAGTGCCAGGTCGTTATGGGGCGGAGCCCCCACTATGCCGATACCCGGCGCCGCCCCACGCTGGGGCGAGAGACGACGATGGCGCCGTTGCAGAAGCTCGTGCCGTTTGTCACGCTTGTAGTACAAAGCAGCAAACGCCAGCACGTTGAGGAAGAGCAGCGACGCACCCACTGCTACCGTCACGCTCAGCTCCGTCGAATAGTCCCGCGTGTCACTCGGGAACGGGAAGCGTTCAGGAGGCTGTTCGGAACCTTCCATGTCCGGGTCGGGGGGGTATGTCGAAACCGTGGGATGGCGAGTAGAGCGCGTGCCTGGACTCTGGGGCGTGCCCTTCCAGCCGGGCCGGTGCGGGCCGCCAGGCGGCAGTCGTGTGGTTAAGGAGGTGATGATCTCCTCATGGAGGGTGTGCAGGTGAGGTACCAGCTCAAGCCAGAAGGCAACTTTGTTGGCACGGTAATTGTCCCGGATGCGAGGCTTCAACCCGATGTGGAGGTACTGTTTGTCTTTAGAGCTGAACTTGGTCCAGATAACTTCTTCAAAGCGATTGGGCTTGGTATGGATGAACTTGGTATCCTGCGGCACTGGAATGTTCGGATCACTGGTAAAAAAAAAGTTGAAAGAAAATCAGGACAGGAGAAGAAAATGGCAATTGTATTCTGGTCTCATTGAATGAACAAATTCGAACTCTCACCCCGTCTTGGCGAAGTTGGTCCAGTACGTCATCACTACAGCGCTGAGCATGACATCGTTCTTGGAAAAGTTGCAGGGAAATAGGTCTGTGGCGCCTACCATGGGAACACCGAACACATAGGGGATCTCATCACCATGTGCTGCGTCTGCCCACTCAGGTCGCGCCTCCGTCTGGCAGTGGTGGTGGAAGGTATAAAAATAAACGGGGGACTGGAACTCAGCGTGCAGCTTAGCTGTGGCCACTGCGGGCGCCACCCACTGGTGATCGGTGAAAAGTGCAAGTAGAGTTTTCCGCCGCATGTCACCGTTGTCACGGTCGGCCCAATCTGTGTACATGAACTTTATAGTCTCCCGCAATATGTCTTTACCTATGAAGCGACAGAGAGAGACCGAGGGAGAAAAAGATGGATGTTGGATGATGAGACAGAGTTGGTTGCCACACAAAGCAGGGCACCTTGACCCGATATAGGAGACAATGAGACAGAAAGACCCAAGGTGAGGGGTAAAATTAGACTGATTACCTTGAACAACCGCTAAAAGAATGTGTAGTGTCATTTGATGTGTACTCAATGGACATTTATCAAAGATTTTTTTAATCCTGTAGAATCTTCTTTGGAGCACATAGCAAATATTTTGACTGAAATAACTTTTAATAGGAACTCAATTCAGTGCCTGATTAAAAATCCTATAAACTCATTTTATTAACATATTTTTGTTGAATATGTAAATATGCCAAATAATGTATTTTAAATTACAACAGAAGCAATAAATGGTCCTGCAAGTTTAGCATACGACTAATAGAAAGATACCTTTCAGTGCTGGGTGGGTAGTAACTTATTATATGCTTATGTAATCAGATTTCAAAAAAAATAAATACAATTAGATTTAATTTTGTTTTATCAGACTAGTTATTTTTTTATTGATTACATTACAAAATGGCAGTAAATTATTCAAAATTCATTGATTCTCCCTAATTATTATTTGTATTTTTTAATATCTGTTAAGATTTCCTTTCTCAAAAGTATTGTGGGATCGGCCACTAATAAGATGACTATAATTACCGGTACATGGGATATTGAGGCCACCCAGTATAAACAATAAAACATTTAATCTTTTTTTAAATTATTTTTTAAGTGGTTTATGTTGATTGGTTTTATTTTTTTTATGTAACTTTAATTATTTAATTAACTAAGCTTTTCATAAATTTATGAATCTCTGCAGTTGCTTCCCAAGTTAGAGAAATGCACTTCATGTTGTCACAACATGACATGTTATATAACATATTTAATAATTTTTCTTTCATTGTATTTTTTATCAGTGTGTTACAAGATTATGCCATTTAAATCAATACTACAAAACAACAATTTGTATTATGTAATTTGTATTCAGTAATGGACTACAATTTGTAAGTAATCTACCCAGCAAATTACATTAGTTTTAATATT